GCGCAACAGCACGGCGACGGCTGTCAACTGTCTACAAGATGAAAAAAGAAATTCAGTCATCAGAACAGCCGTCATCTGTTCTGAAAGAAAGTCGTAGACAGGACCATGCTGTTACAGCACACCAGACAAGGTTCTACTGGAGCTGGAGAACGATACGACAGTCAGAGCTCACAGACGAAAATTGGAACATTTCCTTACTTTGAAGGAAAGAGCAGAGGTTAGTTGATGAGGCCGCAAGGTGCAACTGGCTCTATTTGGGCTCTCGTCACCGAAGCATCAGGATTATGGAATTCTGAACCTCGGCAGAAGAAAGCTATTCAAACAAAGTGTAGAAACACGCTAATGCCGTGGATAGAACCTGGTCTGACTGGCAGAATCATTGAAAGAAAGTCTGTTAGCGGAAGAACAGTAATCGTCCGACTGAAGTTGCAACAGCCCAAACCTTTGACTTTGTTGCAGATCAATGTGCTGAACAAGTAGGGAGAATGTGTAAAAGAAGTTAAAGTTGGTCAACGTTGGTATGTCGACCTTCCGTCAATTTCATGGATCCATTTGGATGCCCTTCTCTTCATGAAAGTGAGGGTGCAGTGCTTATCTCCGTTTCTGAGGCATCAGCCAGAAGTGACTCATTTTGCTAAGGCAGAATCCATCACCATGTGACAAACGGCACGTTTATTAACCTTGGAAGGAAGAAGAACAAGTGATTCGGACCGGGTCTTGAATGCGGGACTTATCGGTTTTGAGTTCGACACCCTGTCGACTGAGCAACCCTGATCTGAAGCAATGTGAGGTAAATTCCTTGTTGAAGAGAATTCAGGAATAGAATGACGACTGCGCACGAACGGAATCGAACCCCGCATGTCCAATGTTCGAACCAGACCTCAGGGAGAATGAGTTCTTCCTGGAGGAAGCAAAAAGTGCTCTTCATGAGGTGCGGATTACGGAATTCACCATTCTAATGCGCGGCTTCAATGTGCATGCAGAAGCAGCGATTGAAAAATCGAAATGTGTCATTGGAAAGAACGACTCTGGCGACCTCAACAACAAAGGCTTGAAGCTGGTTGTCTTTTCGGCAAACAACGGTCTTCTGTCATGAACGCTTTCTTCAAACATTGAAGCGGAACTCGGTACGTGTGACACTGGAAAGTTTGGTACAGAATTTGATGATCAATTTGATAATCATATCGTCTGACAAGCGACGCTTTCTAACGGATGTTTGCATTGAGAGATACGCAGAATTATCAAATGATCATTACATTGCTGTTACACCATTCGCTGTAAATGATGGGATACCATTTGAAGACCTAGCGGCAGAAGCAAACAGCCAGTCATATGGGAAACCTTGTTTATTGCGGATACTGTGGAAACTTGCAAACAATATCGAGCGGTGGTCTCAACAGATTCTACTAATGTGTTACCGAGTGGGAGCTCTCTGAGGGCTGCCGCCGAACGCTGCGGTTTAAAACGGGTAGCCTGTCGTCTAAAAATTTAAGACTAACTTCATGATGGACACGAGAGGTTCAGCTGGCTGTCACCGAGAAGAAGGCTGCATTCAACAGATTGTTTGAAGACAAAAAGCCCTAAGCTCACATGCAGCCTAAAGAAGCGCGCTAGGCGGCAGAAAAGCAGTGACGC